TCAGGGAAAGAAAATTGGAAAACAATTGTACCAAAGATCATACACATCCAAGGATCTGCTATAGCACAAAATTGAACTAACATCAAAATGCAGAAAAGTAAAGATTTCAATCTGTAACTAGAGTTGTTCGAGAAAGAATTTTGAGAGCATATCTACCAGTCATCATACAATATTTATGGTACACACACCAAAAGGCTTGCCTTATAAACACCAGCAAACAAACTTTTCAGCCACACAAGATGCATAACCTAAAGCTAAAACGCCAGGCAGGACAAAAATCTTGAGATATACCTAAGGCAACTAAAATGTTCCAAATTTCAAAGACTGGTAATAACCACATAATTGGGGATGACTTGTACAGAAGGGATAATAAATCACCACCCAAAATGTTTTTCACGAACAAGAAGGAAAATACAAATAATAATAAAAATATAACTAATGTAAAGCACAGCAGATTACCAAGTGCAAAATTCTAGCAACACAAGTGCAAAATTCTAGCAACACAAAAAAAAATTTTTAGACAGGCAATAACTTGGAGATACCATTTGGCCACAGAAGTTGTAATAACAGCAGGGACATCTCTGTAAAAAAATAAAGGGCCCTCAATTACTCCAGTCAGCTCAATCAACTGAAATGCAGTACACGGTCAATTCCAATCCATTCACGTCAAAGAAACAACTAAAGCAAATATCAGAACAACACATCTAACCATTCTACCCTTTCTTCGTGATTGCATAGGACATATATCAGAAAGAGAAAAAGAATTCAAATTATTGACAAACAATGCAGGAAAGTAATCTAATCGTGTGGCCGAATACTAGGAGATAAGATAAGTCACACTGGTCTGCATTCTAAAACATGATGTCCCCGTTCTAGGAATTTAAATGTTACCCTGCATTCTTCAGCACCTTGCTTAGTCTTGAAGAAACCAGGTGGCACTTCCATTATCGTCAACATCATGCCGGGATCCAAGAAGCTCAAAAGATCAAGCATTCATCACATGCAGGGTCCACGAATACTTCCTAGAACCCACACAAAAAATCAGTCATCCATCAATTGTTGATAAGTACGCAAAAAGAAAATTTTTTCTTTAAGGTCAGAAAATAAAACACAAGAGAGATGAAGATAGCATAAACCAGGAGCAACATGATGATTAGGAACTTGCTGAATGTTAGTCACATCCTACAACTAAGACACCAACAAACCAAACAACAGAATTTAATCATATCAATCAACACGGATATAAGAAAAAAAATAAAAGCAAAATACTAAACTATGCAAACATTTTGGAAGCAAAATCTTATCCTAACCTGAAACCATAAAGGGAAGGTACTAGAAATTGTACCACCAAACAGAGGCCTTTCTAAAAAGAAATCTCCGTACGTTTTTACAATTAAATAACAACTTTCCATTCACAAATAAATCACTTAAAATATCAAAACCAGTGATCTTAACCCAAATGAAACCATAAACTGAATTAACTCGATATGAAAAAATTGAACATAAACAAAATGAAAAATTGAATAATCTAATCAGCATATGTAATAAGTGGCAGGAGAGAAGTTTACCCTGACCAAGCAAAGTGGAGAGA